TATGAGACTCGTAGCGTCATCCGTTCTCCGAAAATTCGAAAAAAAAATCGATTTAACAGCACCCGACGTCAAGAGAAAACACATGCTTCCTTTCTTGTTTCAACTGAGATCTTTTTGTTCTGAGTTATACTAGGCTTAAACGACGAAGCAATTTCACTTTATTTTGTCATGACATTTTGTAATTATTTCCGCCAATTTTCCTATAATAAAGATTAATTTTTGTAAGAAATCATCTTTTTCTTGAATTTTTGTCACCTCAGAAATATATTTCAATCATCCTTATTTTCAATCATCCAAATAATTATACTTTTTTAAATCAGTATATAGAACTTTTTTTTTTAAGAAAATAGTTTCATCTAAAAAAACCTGAAAATATTTTTGTTAATTTTAATATGTTGTTAAGTTATGAATTTTTTTTACGAAATTACATTTTTTGTCGATTTCGGCAAATTTAAATTGTTATTGCAAACAATTGTTAATAAATGACTAAAGTAACTATTGGAACATAAAACATAATCTCTCTAGAGTATCCCAGAGTACTGTCAAATCGATTTTTTTACGAATTTTCGGAGAACGAATGATCTTATGAGTCTCATACTCTAGAACTATAATTCTTAAGCCTAGAACAACTCAGAACAAAAAGATCTCGGTTGGAACAAGAAAGATAGTATAAGTTTACTCTTGGTCCGATAGACTGTTTGTCAAAAAACTTTTTTTTAATTTTTCGGGCTTATAATTAAACTTATTGATTTGTGCTTTTGGAACAATGTTTGGAACAACTAGAACAATCTATATCGGTATCGGAATGCTTTATTTTCAAAAAATGGGGTGCCAGGTCAAAAACATTTTTTTCATTTTTTGGACTTATGATTCAACTTACGGACTTGTCCTTTTGGAACAATGTTTGGAACAACTAGAACAATCTATTGCGGTATCAGAACGTTCGATTTTCGAAAAGTGGGGTGCCAGCTCAAAAAATCATTTTTATTGTTTTATTTAAAAACCGTTTCGAATGAAGCAATATCACTTTGGAACAATGTGGTACAAAGTCAGAACAATCTGGAACAACTTTCAAAATTATAAATTTCAAAAAGTGGGCTGCCAACTTCATACACTCATCGAAAGCGCTGTTTATCCGAGTAAAGCAGATACGACTTTTGCAGAAAGAGAGAGAGAGAGAGAGAGAGAGAAAGAGAGAGAGAGAGAGAGAGAGAGAGAGAGAGAGAGAGAGTGTGTGTGTGTGTGTGTAGCCGATTGTTTGGCCGTGCCCGCGCTACGTTCCGACTGCGCGGAAAGTATCTTGCGATAAGAGTCTATTTTATGCGGAGTCTCCTCGTAGACCCTTTGTAGCAAACCGTTCTCCAGCTTCGTAAGGTCGGGCTTATGTTCTCTTTTATGCCCGCGCGCGCCGATTCCTGGCGTATCCTGTATAATCTCGATTCCCGTAGGACACGTCGGGTTGCGACGTTGAACGAGACGTTTCATTGGCACTTTTTCAATAAAAGCTTCCCCTCCGGGAAAGCGAATTTTCGCAAAGCCGCGAGTCGAGCGATATAAAATAAAACTAAACACGACGAGAATTTCCTCGGCGCGATAAGATGATAAAAAAGCATGCTCGCGCTCGCGACTTTACGAACGGAATTTCCGCAAAACATTGCCATGTGACACCTACACGCTCGCAGGTTGCATCATCTTCGGATCCGACCAGGAAGTAGCAGGAGTTATGAGAGCGGTGAGACGGTGCAACGCGACCGGCGCTTTTTCCTGGATCGGAAGCGATGGCTGGAGCGCAAGAGGATTAGTGAGTAACGGTAACGAGCCGGAAGTCGAGGGCACTCTGTCGGTTCAACCTCAGGCGAACCCCGTTAAGGGTTTCGAAGAGTACTTCCTCAACTTGACCGTCGAGAACAATCGAAGGAACCCGTGGTTCGTCGGTAAGCGAGTGACTTCGGGATGGATGCGCAAGATAGGAATGAAACTTTTGGCGAACACCAACCTCTCCGGGGGTGTGCGTGCTTACACATGCATATACATGCGCGTGATACGCCCGCGGTTATTAGAGAAACGAGAGGCCAGACTTTACTCTCGATACATTATATTCCGGAGAACTTTAACACACAAACACGGCGGGGAGTCGTTAAGTCGACCGACACTTAACGTTGCTGCACTCGCGTCGTTACGCAGCACCGGCAAACGGCAAACACCAACGAATAAAGAGTACAAGAAGGTGCATTTGCTGAAGATGTAGGAACGGGGTTGAAGTTTCATATATCATACTTGGTTCAAGTTGGCGGACATAAAACATGATCTTGCAATCATGAGTCGGAATGTATATGCGCGGAAGTTTGCGCGATAGCAGTTGTTTTTATTTTATAATGTAAAGTTATTTGTAAAATGGTTTTGTTGTTGTGTTTATGGTTCTTCAAAAAGTATTGAAGATGACAATATCTCTTTATCTTGTCATTCGTAAGTAAAATATATTTTATAATTTATAGTTTATAGGTTATCATCATCAGTATGTTATCAGTTACTTTTTATAAACATGCATTTTACGGAAACATCATGTATTAAATATGAGTGGAATCTTGGATACGATTTATTGATTGAGAAAAAGATTTGTATACGCAATTTTTATCTTACTTTGTTCTATTAACCCTAGAACCTTAAGCATAGATAAAATTTACCCAGAACAATGTTTTTAACGTTATCGTTTTTAAAAACGATGTGTTTTGTTTTTTTATTATAACTTTCTCAACTTCATTGAATCGCAAAAACATTAATAAATTCGTATTCCTCGATGTTTTTTACACCGATTGAAAGAAAAAGTATTAAATTTAAATTATTTTCCAAATATTATAAATATTTATTTTCCAAATGTTATAAACAAATGTTATAAACAATGCGTAAATGAGAAATGCATAAAATTTATCAATGTTTACGGCAACATTCTGATGTTTTTAGTTCTAGGGTTACTGATTTTCGTGTTTTACTCGATCCATAGCTTCCAATAGCTCCCTCGTACTCTTTATTAATTGAACGGCACGATATATCCTTTCGCGAGATCCAATTACTTCGCGAGTACCATCTTTTACAATTAACATAGTTCAAGTAATTGAAAATAGGATTAAATTAAAGAACTCGTTAAACAAGAAATGTGTACGGGGAATATGTATGTATATTTGTGTAATAAGTTAACGGAGAGTTTTGATGTCATTTCATTTAGAGAAGATAATCTAGTTGGATTAAGGGTCAAGTTGGCTATGTGCTTTGTTTATGTGTTTATCCTGAGAGCAACAATGAAAACAAAATCGCAAACGTTTTTTTTCAGAGTATAAGTACTTTCCCTTGAATTTCATTAAAATTGAGATGATATTACAGTTAAAAAGTAATAAAACTGATGTAGGAGCTGCTGAGTATTGGAGCGTTTCGATCTCTTCAATATTCTCTATCGCAAGTGAATGAACTTCAGTCAAGTATTATCAGTTACAATAAAATTTCCTGCAAGTGTATATAATATTTCGAATAATGAAAGCAATTTTCATTCATAAAATTATCGAAATCATGTATAAAAACAGACGAGATAAAGTATTTAAGAATAGATAAGGTATTTAAGAGATAAGGTATTATAGAGATAAGGTATTTAAGAAGACTATAGAGGAAATGTGGAGATCTTTCGCGGAGACTTCAGAATTACTAATCAGGATACACATTTTATACATGGCCTTCTTACTCCGAGTTGCTAGCCAACATTCCCCGATGATTAAGGCAGTATGTTCGAATGTCGGCTATTATAGAACAAAATACGGTTTCCAGAATTGTTGCGGGCAGAAAAACATAAAGGAAGGAATTTTCTCTGTCAAATTTGTGAACAGTCAACCGCAGCTATTAATTGTCAGAATTAATTGTCTGAAAAATTATAATTCTAAAATTCTAAAAAGTGGCCCAACTTGACCCAGTCTCTTTTATTAAATTGTCCTATTATGTTATCGTGTTTTTTCTCGTTCTACGCACGGAGAAAGGAATAAACTATTATGTTGATTTTAGAATTTTGGGAAGACCACTTTAAATGCCGATACCCGAACGTATCCCAGACACCATACAACAAAAAATACACGAAAACTTGTACGACGCAGGAACGCCTCACCAAACAGAACACGGCATTCGAAGACCAGCTGCAGTTCGTTTCCGACGCAGTAATGGCTTTTGCTTACGCTTTTCGGTAAAGTAGAAGCTTAATCTCTGACAGATCTCACTGAAGATCTTACATCCCTTATCCGTCGACAGACACACTGAGAGGAAAATGCGCTATTCTTCCCTCTTCTAGGGATATGCATCGTGATCTTTGCCATCGCAGGGCAGGCTTATGCGACGCCATGAAACCGACCAACGGAACGAAACTCTTGCAGTATTTGCGCAAGGTGGATTTTAAGGGTAAGCTGACAAGACGATTCTGCAGGGAAGATTACGAGACGCGAATATATCAGTCCACTGCGGCTCGATCGTAGAGAGTATCGGAAGTGTGCATTATAAATCATGCTTGAAACGATCGTTTGTGTCTCTGATACGCGAATGAGATTTAATATTGCAAGAAAAGATTATCGAAAGTCTGTTATGTTCTTACACGCGGTAAGCCGGCCGAATTATGCTTGTTATCGCAATTATAACGCTCATACGTCGTCGATCAAGTGTTCGTGGTACTCATAGCCGATCGAACGACTACGTTTAAGGTCTAAGCGGCGACGAGTTTAGATTCGACAAGAACGGCGACGGTCCCGCAAGGTACAACATCATACACTTCAAGCAAACCAAGCCGGGCAAGTACAAGTGGGTTCGCGTGGGCAAATATCTGGAGGGTGAGTTGCGGCTAGATATGTCCGGTAAGCTCTCTTCTATTTTCGCGACGTGTCCACCTCCCTTTTCCCCTTCCTCCTTCTCTTCTGTCCCTCCCTCCTCTGTTCCTCTCGTTCCCTCTCGTCACACGTATCGCGCGGACAGAGGTTCGGTCTTACTTACTTACGAATGCGGTCCGCGCGCCCAACAGTATTCCACATTGTGGTAGTGTGCGTGTCCGTATTTGTTTTAGAAATCCAATTTAAGCTCGGGCATCCACAGCCACCCGAAAGCGTGTGCTCTTTGCCTTGCGAGCTCGGCCAGGCGAAGAAATACGTCGAGGGTGAGAGATGCTGCTGGCATTGCTTTAATTGCACTCAATATCAGGTACGTCAACGGAACGGTATCATCGAAATAATTAACCGCCAGCCAGACTGGCTGTAATATCCGACCAGCGAACACTTTCATTTCAAAGGGACAAAATAACAATACGCCCATTGTGGATCGTCGGTAGTCCCGGTAGCGCGGCAATATTTGTCTTCGCGGTACGTTCACTTAACCGGCATTTGCGATAGTGAGGGATGATGATAAAAAATAGATGCTTTAGAGGAAACGAGGCTTCTGGTTGGACGCGTGCCAAATGAATACGTGTACAGGATACCGTTGATGTAGCTCTACAGCAGCGTGTTTTGAGAATTTTCGTGCACTGTATTCTTCGATTTCTTAGTCACGTCTACATGGATGATATGGAAAAAGACAGGCTGTTGAATCGATAGAATTGGTCAACAGCACTGTAGTTGCAATAAATCTTCTTGATAGAATCTATTGAAAAAAAGTCTTGTAATAGTTAACAAAGGCATTTGGTTGTTTATAGTACACAGAAATATGCTGAACCAGAATTCTCTTCTCGAGAATTTTATACACCGCGCTCTTTTATCTCTCAAACAGATACGACATCCGAAAGACGAGACACGATGCATTCAGTGTCGTCAGGGTACGGTGCCAGACGAAACTCACTCGACGTGTCGCGACATACCGGAAGAGTTTCTGCGCCCGGAGAGCGGTTGGGCGATAGGCGCGATGTGCTTCTCCTCCTTCGGAATTTTCGTAGGTGTCTCTTGTATTTTTCACTACTTTTATGAAATCAAGAGAACTTCTTTAACGTCTAGAAACTGACTTCTCTGCTGTGACGAAACGTTACTTGCAAAATACACCCAACAAATATCGAAATCATGAAAACCACGATTGAAATCTCAGTCTATATCCTGACCGTTATTTAATATTAAATTTTGATTCTTACATTAAAATAACGTTTCACCATGTATAAGACACATAGAATTTGGAGTCATATAATTATATTTAACGCAAAACCTGTATAGTCAGAATATTGCAGATTTTTGCATGAATGTAATATATATATATATATATATATATATATATATATATATATATATATATATATATAAACACAAAGACGGAAGAAAAAATGAAATGATGAAAGATGAGTGATAATGATGAGACGTAACATAAATAATAATTAATAAATCAAATTTTGCATGTTTATAGAATCTTTAAGTATTGCAAAAATCCGAATGAATTTTGTATGCCAGAGGCAGCAAATTCCAATTTTTAATGCCTTTTATTAAGAAATATTTATAATATACAGAAGTTCTGTGTTAGGCATGTACAATCCATTCAAACAGAGGATCTTTCACAGATCTCTGATTATAATTGACTGTATTTATATATAACTGCAATAATCATCTTTACATATTTTATACCATAAAATTTACACAGTTGATATATTTTTAATGCATACAGGTGACGTTATTTGTCTGCGGCGTTTTCCTCAGACACAACGACACACCAGTCGTACGTGCATCCGGACGCGAACTATCTTACGTCCTTCTCGTGGGAATATTACTCTGTTACCTCGTCACGTTCACCCTAGTACTCAGACCCACGAACGCTGTCTGCGGCATTCAAAGGTAAAAAACTATGAATCTTTTCGGGTATGTTCTACAACTTCCCAGATGATAGCATTAATCTTTTGCTCCTTACGAGCCTCGCGTTACAGTTACGTGATAAATTATATCCCCCACGTACAATTAATGTCGTCCAACTGAAAGTAAAGTAACGGTTTCTGTAATTCCACACAATCTTGTTGGAGTCTCTAATGCTTTTCCCAATCTGTACTTCTTGTCTAACCTAAAATTTCAAAATAAGTGAAAATATAAAAGATGTTTGTTAAACAATATCGAACGAAAGCTGTAATTGTCTTAAGAATTTAAAAGAGTGCTATATGGTGGAAAAGAGAAAAAAAGATAGTTATAATCTTGTGTGTCGAATTAAAAAAAGCAAAGATAGAAGTGTCAACTATGTGCGGAGAAAGTATTGTTTCCGAAAGTATTGTTGGCGATGCTTGTTAAGAAACGAAGATGCAACTTCTTTATTTTCTGACTAACAGAGTCGCCGCAGGACTCTGTTTCACTATAGTATACGCCGCTTTGCTAACGAAGACCAATCGAATCGCGAGGATCTTCAATGACGGAAGACAAAGCGCCAAAAGACCTTCGTTCATATCACCACGGTCGCAGCTCATCATCTGCTTCGGACTGGTATCCGTACAAATCTTAATTAACGTAGTCTGGATACTGATCGATCCTGCCAGAGCGATGCATCACTATCCTACAATGGAGGACAATTTACTCGTCTGCAACAGCTACATTGACGCTAGCTACATGATCGCGTTTGCGTATCCCATAATACTGATTGCTGTGTGTACAGTCTACGCCGTCCTTACGAGAAAAATTCCAGAAGCTTTCAACGAAAGCAAGCACATCGGTGAGCTTACTGTTCCGTTGCGGACAGCTGTCTCGTGCAAGCGCATTTTATTATTGCTTTTCCGTCACGTTTTTTCTTTCGCGTACAGCTCAAGAAAAATCAATGAAAGCAATCGATATTGATACAAAACGCATTACGATCAAAATAGGTGTAACAAGTACCTTAGCTAACAAAAAAGTGGTCACAATGTTAATAGAACTAATTGAATTTAAGTAATTGTATTTAAAGATGTTGTACGCGCGCGTGTATAGTCCATACGAAAAGTAACTGAAAATTATAAATACACTAATATTTCTATTATTTTTCTACATAAATGTATGGTATATATGCGCGGTAGAGAGAGTTGAATAACAACATATTTTTATTTTAAAATCACATTTTTACAATTTATTTTGTATTTTTGATCTTTATGCTGTATTATTTGTGACCTGTAAATTTTTATCTCTGAATTGAATCAGTAAAACTTTGCATAAATTATTTTAAATGTTTAACGTACATCTATACAAAAATTGAGATTGTTGTCGTTATTATTATATTATATTATTTTTTTTATTATCTTTTCTTTTATTAAAAATAGCAACATTATATATTTTTATAATAATACGGTTTAAAATATCTCGGAGTAGCAGGCTGACGTAAAACGACGTATTATTGATGTTAGAAGTGTCACAAATGCTTCATTGAAACGCCATTTGACGTTTAATGAGAAGCAATGTCAATAAGAAACACGTCTCTGTATGCAGGTTTCGCCATGTACACGACGTGCGTCATATGGCTCGCATTCGTGCCCTTGTACTTCGGCACCGGAAACAACGTTGCGCTGAGAATTACTTCCATGTCAGTAACAATCAGTCTTTCCGCGTCCGTAATGGTGGTTTGTCTCTTCAGTCCAAAGGTGAAGTTCTCTTTGATAACTTTGGACCACTTGAAAATGCTTGCACTCAGAATAATCGAGCGTCCGAAATAACCGCGAACATTCAACCGCAACCTCAAATTCGCTTTACTTGCCATTGATTGAACGACAAAATCAGCTTAAAGTTAGAAATTCGCGAATGTATATCGATGTTAGGACATACGTGAGCACTCACATTAGTGATTGCTTCCCAAAATTCAACGAGAGGAACTTTTGGAACTTGACATTCAGCGTGAAACGTTACTCTCTCGTGAAAGGACTGGAATTTAATTAAAAGGGGATACAAGTTTGGACGGGCTAAAGATAGAACGTATTAGCGGGTCTCTTTTCTAAAAAGCATACTAGTTGAAATCAAATATATTCTTGATTTTTTATTTGAAAGTATATCTTTTTAACTGTTTTTAATTAATAGTTTTTTTCGTTTTTAGTTAATAATTTCTTTGCTTCCAATTAAATAATCCCAATTAACAATTTCTGTTTGTCGCGACAACAGCTGAGATAGCTGTCCCATTTTTTAAATAAACTTCAAAAAGAGAGGATTGTAAAAATAATTTTTCGCTTGTATTTCATAACTCATAACTCGAGAACCATTAGAAATATTGAGATAAAAATACAGATAAATTTCTAACTTGCTCAGTATATTATTTACATGGTCCTTGGATTATTCCAATTTGTTTAGTTAACCTGGAAATTGTATAATTTTATTACAAAAATGATAAACATTATAAAATTAATATCATTGTAATATAAACATAATAAATTATAACATTATAATAAATAACTTATAATAATGAATAATAATAAATAAATACATAAATAACGTAATTTATAATAAATAATAAATAAATAATTATAATAAATAATATTATAATTATATAATAATTTATATTATAATTATATAATAATTTATATTATAAATATTACAAAAATTATATTAAAATAGAATTATGGATACACAGGCATTGACTTAAAATTATTTCATATTTTTAGGGTTTTTGAAGTTTTTGAGAGTGGTTTATCTTTCTTAATAGCCTGTCCAAACGTATGTTCCCCCCTAATTATTTAACGAGATTCATTGTGATGTCAAGTACCGCGGCGGTTCGCGTCGTTAGCTAAAGCGTGATCCCTAAACTTAACTCAATTAACTACAATGGTAATTCACAGCACGTATTGTTTGCATGCTTAGCTATACATTATTTTGATTCGACCCGAGAGAAACGTACGGCCAAACATAAAGGCGGGGAGACCCAACTTGACGAAAAGCTCGGCCATAACCGCCACGAATCCATCGAGCATGATGGGCCCGGTCACGGCGACGGCAGTATTAACAGCCGCAACTTGCGATCAAAATAAAGCCATCAAGAAACATATCGCATCCACCATAGATTGCTCCACACAGAGCGAATGTAAGTACAATCCCGGTGCAAACTTGGTAATTTCGCATTGCGAGCCGGTAGAGATCGCTATGATTTTTGTGTTTTTTTTTTATTTGCCCGAGCGTTTGCTTTTTGCATTTTGCTTTTCAAAACAATACGCAGTATTGCCATGTTTTTTTTTCGCAGACTACGAAATGGAAGTAAAGGAACAGAAAAACGGAAAACCGCTGGCGACATGCGCTTCACGATCGACCCAAACGACCAACAACGAAAAGGAATCGACGATGTCGACGACGGTGACGACGACGACGACGACGACGACAACAACGACAACGACGTCGTCGTCGTCGTCGTCGTCAACAACTACTATCACGGCAGGCAATAAAGAATCACCGGACATAGTCGCGTCCGTCGGTAATAAGGAACAAAAGAACAGTAGTACGACAACGACAAAACGACTCAATAACAACGCAAGAATAGGCAACGGGCCACTTTCGCAAAGCGAAGTCTCCTTATAGCGCAAAATGGTATCCCCCATAAAGTCGCCCGTATTAACGAATAGCATTAGTTTAAAACCGATCTCAAAAAAACCTGTTATCGTTTGATTAGAATCCCATTGCATATTGTATATATTATTGACTGAAGCTATACGCGCCAATACGTTTTTCGACGTGACAGAGGAGACAAAGTTTCCGTCGGTTGTTTCAAAGAATTATTCGTCGTTGACCGCCCGTCAACATGCCAGGTCTCGACAATGGAGTAACATCCAAGCACGCCAAATAGTCACCACAGATTCCGAATTAACTATATTATATATTGTTAAATTAAAGCTACAATTGATAAGTTAAGAACAGAACATGTCGATAATATACTGACATATAATAAAAACTCTTTATCAATGGTTGATAAAAACTGTCTTGAGATTCACTTTGCTCTGAATAATCGAGTTTTTTGTATTATTTAGTTTTTTAAGATTTCAGATAAAAGAAATAGATTTTTTACAAGTATAAAAAGAAGAATTGATTTCGTTGAACTAAAAATCCGAAAATTGCCATTTTTGTAGATACAAAGCATCTATCATTTCTTAGCTATCAATAATATAGCTGTGTGTTTTAAATCTCTACGATTGCGATTGGAAAGGAAATCAAATTTGTTATGTCAAGGCTCTTGGATAATCGCCGTGAAATTCTGGATTGACGATCAGAAGTGAGAAAACGCATGCCCAAAATTCTTGTGTGTCATTTCCAAATAAAAAGATATTTGTATGAAAGAACACTTTCCCACACAGCAAAAGAAATCTGTAGGATATACTGAAATTATCGCGGATATACGAAATATATTTCAATATCCTTACAATATTGCCAGTATATATACTGATAGGATATATTAGGAATAGGATATATTAATGTCCGCACTTACGAAAATGTAGAAATATCATATATACAGCAAAAGTAATCTGCAGGATATACTGTGATCATCATGGATAAAATATACCTCAATATCTTTAATATATAATTAGTATGTAAACTAATAAAGAAGAAGATATACTATTGACCACACGTAAGAAAACGTGGTGAAGCATTACATGGTGAAGAATTGGAACACAGCTTTGAAAAAAGGTAGCTAACTGAGGCTGTGTTTCAAAATTTACTGCCAGTACTGAAAATCTATTGTTTACATCACAATACAATTTCAATACTAGTGAATTTCAGTCTGAGTCAGATAACCCTGTCGTGATTACACGCACATGCGAGAGCTTCTAAGACCGGTATAGTCCGATCGGGTGCATTTGTACTTCCCACAATATATTTTTATCTTGTGTAATTGTATAATAAGAAAAAGGGCTAATTCGAGTTCAAGCACAGGATTAATAGTGCTATGTACTATATGGGTAAAACCTTCCTTGTATTAGGAAATAGAATAATAATCAAACGTTTCGGCTCAATCATGAATCCTCAGTGATAAATAAAAACTTAAGGTTTACAAAACGAACGCATTAGAAGTAAAAGTAAAAGTTGTGAGGCGTCGTATGTTGGTCAAACTAGTAGAAGACTCTCCACACGTATTGCTGAACATAGAAGAATATCAAGAAGTTCTACAGTGGAGTTAACGGCCATACAGGAACACCGAAAATGAAGAAAAACCATGATTTCAATTGGAATCATGCCAAAGTTTTACATGAGGAACGTTTTTATTTGAAACGCCTGATATCAGAAATGATTTACATTAAACTTCAAAAGCATGGACTTAACTCACAAAAGGACACAGAATATTTGGACAACGGCTACTGCGGCTTATTATGAAAATAAAACTCTGTTTGTTTCCTTCTCTTCCACAAGTCGTCGCCGCAATGTTAATGCTCGTGTATATAAATCTGTTATTATCTGTATTACCTAGACGTTGCGATGTTATCGTTGACAGGTTTCACTTTTAGCCGAGCTCAACAAAAGTATTTTATATTATACTGTTTTAATTATTTATTACATTTTAATCTTACTTATTTTTATTTTATTTTATGGTTTTTTTATAGTTATGACGGCTACTTCCTAATATTAATTTGAACTTTTTAATACTTTTCCGGTAACGGTCTTGTCAGCTATAATATTTCGAATAACATTCATGTCATTTTATTCAGGTCTTTAATTAATTCTTTTAATGCGTTCGTTTTGTAAACCTTGAGTTTTATTTATCACTGAGGGTTCATGACTGAGCCGAAACGTTTGATTATTACTCTATTTCCTAACACAAGGAAGGTTTTACCCATATGGTACATAGCACTATTAATCCTGTGCTTGAACTCGAATTAGCCATTTTTCCTATTATTTAATTGATATCATTGTTATTGAGTTTTTTACTTTCTCTAAAAATTGTGTAATTGTATTTGTATAATTTATTTTGTGTATTATCACTATAAATGTTCTCCTATATAAATTCCGATTACCTATTATAATTATCTCCAATATATCTTATAATATACCTGCGATATACACTCTTAATTTTATTATAACCGGCAATAATCTCAGATATTTCAAGAATAACGTAAAAATATATTTCATGACATTTTGCCATATCTCGGCATTTTCTTAAATGCGGACATTAGTATATCCTGGTAATATCTCTCGAATATCTAGATATCTATCAGATATCTCTGAGACATTGCAATATCCTGACAAAATGTCTTGAGATCTTGCAAATTTCTTTTACTGTGTGGGTCTGATCGTTTAAGCCTACTTGTGAAATCTGTCTCTTTAACTTATCTTTCTTTATGAAAGATAAGTTGCTAAGTTTAATTTACGATTATTTATTGACTATCGAAGGAAAAAGATAGTTTTTGGAACATTTTACAAGTTGCTCAAGCAATCTGAAGTATTCTTTCATAAAAATTTCTTTTTATTTGGAAATGGCACATAAAAACTTTCAACGTGTCATTTCTCGCTTCTGACGTCACAATCCAACATAACTGCAACGAATACCCAAGATCCTTAACTTTAATCGCAAACGTAAGGAATAATTTTTGAAAGATACGTTTGACAAATTATGCATTGGCGATTAGAGTAACTTTAACGTATATCTATCGACAGGTATCAATTCACAAAATTTAGAGGTATCTATGACGATTCAGTAGATACTGCAAACTTTACCATTAATCATACAAAATGCTGCGCGCGATGGAAAGGATACTTGTATGATTTATAAATAATAGATTTCGCTATCTTATATTCTCTTCGAACGAACTTATTCTGAAATAGATAGGTAGTCGAATATTAATTCTCTTGAAGCGAGAATCTTTGCAATTCTGATTCCAACGAGAATAAAATTTGTCTCAATTTTGCTTACACGTAATATGTAACATTAATAAAAACTGACGTTTGACATTATATATTTTATTAGTCCATAATTCGAACGTGTATGTTTTTTGACAAATATAAAAATTCGCGTTTGAAAGATATCTACGACAATTCGTAGATATAAAACGTCTGATATGTTTCTTGCATATAAACAAATCGTTAAACACACACGATTTACTGCATATTTTCTCATAAATTTAAACATTTCACTCGTCTTTCTTAATTTCAAGCAGTATTAATTTATATTCACTCGTCTTCCTTAATTTTGAAGTAGTATTAGATCATGGGAAAATTGCGTGTATTATCTCTACTCAGACAACATAATGTCTAAAATTGGGACATAAGACGTTTTAAAGATAATCTTTAAGACGCCTTAAAGACATTTATACGTAAATCGTCTGAAAGACATTTTAAAGATGATCTTTAATCATATGTCCTGATTTTAGATATTATGTTGTCTAGGTATGTACATAATCGCATATTTTAACATCGGAATTATCTTCTAATAATAATGATGATGGATAGAAACAAGAGGCTATAAAACATAAATATGTAAATACAATATAACGAATAAAAAAAAAATTGTCTCATCTCGAAAAGCAGAAGCTGTTGCTTAAAAGAGACAAGTGTAACGTAAAGCTACTTTCATTTATTAAAAGCTGTAAGTTTTTTAAGAGAAATTAATATTAAGCACAATGTTCGTATCATATTACATTCGATTAATGTAAATATCGATTTGTAAATATGTAAACTCTTGGAAAGGAATAGACTCATTACTCAATGAGAGTACACTCACACATATGTTATTTGATATTTAAATGAAAATGAGCACATACATTTTAGAATAAAAATACCAATACTCTTTATTCTTGAGGGACATTTTCTGCAGACTATAGGAATTGCTCTTCATAGAAATAACATTAAAAAAATTGCATAGTATCATAACGCACAAATCTATTTTCACAGAAGCGTTATTCTTGTTATTATTAAAATTCAATTAAATATGTTATAAGACAAGTATCAACAATGTCGAGAAATTTGTGTTAATATTAAATTATTTAAATTTATTATTTAAATTATTTAAATTATTCATTAATTATTAAGTTATTTTAATTTTATTCGCACACAAACATATGTAATATGTAAACTTTACCGTTTCATTTCGTTTCTTTTTCGCTGAACTTTGGATATAAATGAGCCCAATATCCATAGTTTGGCATGCATTCGCATTTAATTGTTCGTATTATACAAACAACTTATCATTTTTGTCAACAGCGGCACGAGAAAATAATATTAATCTAGAAAATTATTGCGATTAAAGGTTAGTACTGGCGTATTATCGTATTGAAAGAAACTTCGGATGTAAATTTATCTACGCATATTAGGCGCGAACATTAACATTTAAGATTTATAAAAATCTAAACCAACTATACATTATGTAAAAACGAAACAACGCAAGAAAATGTACATTCTGCTACTTCTAGATAGATATTCCGCGTATGTGCATGTACATATTCAAATGAATTATAAACAGACGATTGTACATAAATATATAATATCGCATACATGAGTGCGAAATTTATCGTTTTAGCTTGTAAGGAACCAACTTAATTATAATATTCATAGCGAATTAAGAGATCCGTGTGCGTGAGTGATTATGTGACGTATAAATTTCAAATGCAATGCAAAGACAATGTCAAGAATAATATACATATATACATATTATTACGTATAAGTGTCACGCGATCTATGAAGATATTTTAAATACGTTACGAATTAGGATAGGGAGAGAGAGATGGAAAACTTAACAGTAGCGTATTGTATCCGTTAAAGTGAAAGTTACAGAATAAAATCAACACGACGATATAATTACTACGTAATTATTATCCTTGTTGTAAAATCCTAAGGCGGATGTTCGTAGCGAAGGGAAGGACAAACAACTTGCTCAGTATCGTTTTATTTTTCTTATCGCGCACGAAGTGCGACTTACAATAAATATAAGACAATTCAAAGATGCTGTTTATTTTTTGAAAGCTACAAAAGTTACAGTAGACACGATGCGTCCCGTCAGAATTGCAGAGAGAGAGAGAGATAATCCAAACGACTCGGTGATATGCCACAAGGTTTCACCTAATTCGTTCTCGGCTATTCCCAACTTGTCTCATCGACCATTAGTAGTGGATTAGTAGCAGATCCTGAAAATTGCGATTAGGCATATGATTTACGATTTGCATTCCAAGCCATAAATTACGCAATTGGAAGGGGGATAAAACACCGAGATCGTACGATTGTAACTCGTAATAATGTGGAATCCGCTTGCGTAATCGATATCACTTACACGATATGCCTCCATCCGCAAGATTAGTCAATAAATTTATTTCAGCGAAAAAAGTGCGAAAGAAGTTTTACAGGAGAAAGATGTCTAAGAAAGTTTGTACACGGGATGTCTCACGCAACTCGCACATTCGCTCATGTGCGAGTTGCGTGAGACATCCTATATATCGAACGAGTCTCGACGAAGAGGATACGTATTCGCGGCACGAATCGACGAAAAGTCGGAGATGCGAATGACGCAAAATATTTCGGCGCGGCGATACAATTGTTACAATGTTAAGTAATGTTCGCGCGATTCTTAAAGCCTAACCTGGTTTTCTAGCAGCTTACAGTATAAACGTGAAGGAGAGAGAGGCATTAAGGGTACAGAAAAATAGAAAAAGCCTCGCTAAAATATATTATCTTTTTATTCGAATAGCAATTACAACGCCTTAACGGACGACTGACAGTCTTCTTAGCTAAGCTACATCAGTGGCATACCTTTACAGTTTCCTAAATGTACAAGTTCCTTCAAAAACGATCTCTCCGACTAGTTACGCTTTGTCTCTTGTCAGTAAATAATTAGCGACTGCAGGTCCTTACGAAACGAGATATAAAGTCCGAACGCAAACAGTACGAACGGCACTACCGTCGGAAATATACGTAAGCATCGACCAACTTGTCACAATGGGCATGCTGCCGTTTTTTAACCGTGACAACCGACAACGGGTAGGCACGTGTGCACTGATAAAAATATGCATTACATGTGCACTATCTATCAAATTCGTCATGTATTCATCTAGAGAATCGTCAAATCCTAATAAATTTCTTCATGCCCTACAAACACAAAACATGATATCTTTGGTCTAATGAAATAAACAAGTATATTACAAGAATATTCGCTTACCTATAAAATTATTTTTGTCACAAGGAAAAGATTCATTGTTTTCAAATGCTCGATGTAAGAACAATCATCATGTACACGCTATCCTCGCACGTACTATATTACTCTTTAGTTCAACGATATAAACAATCCGTCAATTTTTCACGAGTGAATGCTAAATTTTGTGCAAGCAACAGTACCCGTTTGTGCAGCGAATACCAATGGTGACATTCGAAACGGTCGCAATAAAAGTACGAAAGCTACCGCTTTTCCCGCTCATCTTCCACTAAACATTGCCGCTATTAAATTCGAAATTCGTACACGAGAACATCTCAGCTTGTCTAAAAAGCTTCTTATACCGATGTGTTGTAAATAAGTCATTCTTACAAACGGTAAAAGTAGTTCGATAAGAGTAGAGGTACTTTTGACTTTATTCGTATCGTTTATAGTAACAGGTAGTCTGTAAATGTTGAACAAGATCGAATACTCGTACAAATCTGACGTTATAGAATTCGATGCTACGCTTAGGGCACGTTCTATAAAATGTCGTTTCTCTATTTTCACTCTTAAAACTCTACAAACTCGATATCTCAGATACACAGAAAATTTTCAATTCGACATGAGTTATATGCTTTTGCATAAAAGTGATAAATTCGTTTCAGTATTACCCTTTTCGTTCATCATCCATTCCTCCTCCTTGCATAATGTACGTAACGGCTAATTGATATATGCGTATGTATATTTCAACTTTGCTTAAAGATGAACTCTCTATCTGTTGTCTCTCTCTATCTTGTGTTGTCACATATTACACCAATCTTTTTGTTGAGAACTGACTACCTTATCGCACACTGATTACATCGCTTATATATTTACATACTCCTTTCCTCTAGAGAATTTTGAATATGTAATATTAGAAAAAAAAGGAGGAGTAAGGACATTCGAGAATTTCTTCAACGTACGTTTCAACCCGGCTATAACGATCGCTGTTTAGTCGTGACTTACAACGAGTCCGAAGCGTAAAATTCGACGCAACGAACGAGTGGCACGAACAACACTGTGGACAACGTCGTTCGTCCGGAAAACGTATACTGCGCGCAAGGAGACTTATTGAACTTATGTCTTCCAAAACTTACCACTGACTTTGATACCTTTGACCTTCTGTAACTTCTTCTTTGGATCCGATAGTGCCGGCATGGCTTCCCTACCCGATTCGCTTCCTCCTGCACCAGAACTACCTCCAGCTACATCAGCCTCTTGAATGCCTCCACCACCGGTTTGAGCCGCGAGAGATTTTTTTATATTAGCAATCTGTAAAATAATCAAAAGGACGTAATATTTACTACATGGTATACTCGTTTTTTAAATAGTAAATATACTATATATTAAACTTACTTTAAAAGTAAATATACTATATATTACATATCTATATTATATATCTATTTAATATACACTTATATTAATTGTTCATGTTAATATGTATTGTTTATACATATATAAAGTAATGTATGTGGAATAAAAGCAATATTAACATACAGAAAATAAAGAGAAAAGGGAAACTCACGTCTCTTTGTATTCTCTCCTTATGATAAGTAGCCTTTTGTTTCTCGATATTAGCTCTGGTTACTTGTTCCTCAATGCATGCTAAAACTGTGTCGCAAGCTTTACCCCAAGCAGCCAATGTCTCAGCTACTATGCCAGCATCACCTGGTCGGACGTCTCGCCCTAAGCCAGCATAATCCACTTCTAACTGTGAATTCTTTTGATCTAATTTTCCATGAATTATGTCAGCATATATTGCTTCGATAATCAGATCTTCTAGGTCTCTGACATTCTTTATGTCTAGTTCCTCCAAAAGTACTGAATAAGGTATACACTTGGATCTCGTGGCAAGAGTGACAATTGTAAGATGCTGCAGCTTCTTCTTTTGCGTAGGAGTTAATTCTAATACTTTATCTTTGTTCTCCAAATAATCCTTATATGTGCCATAGGCAAATAAATTCAGTGTATTCCAATATTGGACATAAGGTCCATTCTCCAGTTCTTTGATATTTGGCATGTCCAACAGCTCACCAAAGACATGAACACCAGGTGTCTCAACGGCCTGTTTTATGAGCTCCATGGCAGCTGCACCTTTTGCAGTTTTTGCAAGTAATACAAATTGTTCCAGAGGATTATTGGCTGACTTCTCAGCAGAGTTTCCACCAGTCATGATAATTCCTAATAAATAATATTCAAGAACATGAAAGTCACATTAGGATTAAAGTACATAGAATGTAGGTATGTAAAATGTATATGAAAAAATACGATTTATAGGCATAAATAAAATCGTTTAAAAGTTTATAGCTTCAAAAAAGAATGTACTTTTGTTATTTGTAACTAATCTTTGTAAATATAATGCTTGTACAATTGATTGATTTTTTTGGAGAGGTTAGGAAACAAATGCGAGACACCTGTTTTGTCATCGACACACTAGCGACGATTAAACGACATAAAATATCAATACATTTCAAACTGAACGTATGATAATAACACGATCATAAACTTACTCTTTTCTTACAAATATCAAAATTGTTCACAACTCCTTTCTTTTGGCACTATACGTCTGAGCACTGTTTCCGGAAATCACCAAGAATACGGAAGTAGACGCGCATGCGATCACAATACTCGTTTTTCTCTCTCTTAATAACAGACGTTTTGATGAGATCTCTTTTTCTTTAGTCACACTATGTTTATATATTTAAAACAAAGTAACTATATATCTTTCACTTGACCATCGACGAGGTACTATAAAAGACTGTCGGTCTTACGGGCTTTAACGACTCCGAGAAATCTCACCGTGCGGTAACGCCCTCTCAGTAACAGCGTGGCCAGAACATGAAACATTAGCTCGAAATGAGCGTAGATGGTAACAGATAGGAAGTAGTTAGGAAGATATCAAGCGATGCAATGAAAGAGTAAGTGAACCTATTTCGAAATACTTTAATTTTTTTCTTGTATTAGCCGTCAAATAATATCAAATTTTCATGTTAGTAACGAAAATCATGTTATTTGTTATTATTATTATCTGGTTATTATTATTATTGTTATTATCTAGCAACGTGTTTTCCTTGTTGTTAGGAGGCTAGCTTGGCTAGCCTATCATGCCGATGCTACAGCGCGTACAGCGTTCGTCTCACCGCAGCACACGTGCTGATTGGCTGCCGCTCGATAGAAATCTTTTATCGTTAATATCTCAAAATTTTACGTGGTTGTTTAAAAAAAGACACCGATACTATTACTCACCCCGAACTATTCTAGCTATATGCTAGCTCTGGTACGATACGAGTCAGACACCTTGTATATACAGGTTTCAGACCTCCATGATGACCCTTTGTGAGAACGTAGAACGGATTGAGGTGAGCAAGAAAGTCCTGTGCCGTTTTGCGATATTCGCAATAGTTTTCGAGAAATTAATTATTTTGTCTCAGCTAATGAGATCAGAGGAAACGACAGAAAGAAAGATACAGCTGCGTACGTGTATGTAGAGATGAAACAACAAAGCTGCAACACACTTTTAGATTCGGTGTCGATTCGGCACACGGATATGTCATGTACATGTGTTTCCCCTTATTCACAATCTTACTTTAATCTTTAAGCCGTAATAAATTGACCAACCACAGTCGATTATTATAAAAATAATCAACTGTGGTTGGTCAATTTCTTACGGCTTAAGAATTAAAGCAAAGTTGTGGACAAGGGGTTAGTGTACCAAGCCCTCGCTATGTCTCGTAGCTATGGGCGGAGGGACGCAGCGAGTCGGGATTCGCGTATATCACGGTTGCGCGCCGGCCAAAGATATCTTTCTTTCGGCTGTCGGTTTCTCTGCTCTTATTAGCTGAGACAAAATAAATTAATTTCTCGAAAACTATTGCGAATATCGCAAAACGGCACAGGACTTTTTTGCTCGCCTCAATCCGTTCTACGTTCTCACAAAGGATCATCATGGAGGAGACACCCTGTATATACTACTAGACTGCTAACTCCGACTCAGTACCACTTCTATATACTACTAGACCACTAACTTTGACTCAGTACACAACCCAGAAAAATATATACAAAAATCTCGCGCATGCGCCTATCTGGTGGTCCAACATTCACAATGTAGCATCTCGTTTTAAGCATTATTGCACTCTGATGTAGGTATACAATTGATCAATCATTTATTTTTACAAATTTTTTACTGTAACGTATTTCACTCTGACGTTTTTCACTCTGTACGTACACAAATATTTAAGCAGGCGGCGTCGGCCATATTATATTTATATCCCCTCTTCTTCTGGAACACCAGTTTCAGGCATGCGCAGATGCCTTTTTTCCCGTGCGTGATACATACTTTTCGGGATCAATTTTAAATATCAGTATATGAGGGAGTTAGCAGTCTAGCAGTTATATAGAAATCTGTGATTTGAATGCATTCCTTGACAGCACTAGAAGAAAAACAAAGATGGCAAGAAAGTGCAGAAAGTGCAGAGAGAAAGAATAGAACTGATCTATAGAGAAGCTTGAGAATAACTATAAGAGCGCTTATTTTGTGGAAGTAGCACGGACACGAACCAAGTGACTTAACTGATAGAGTCGGAAAGTTGATTTGATTGATATATTTTATATCTATTACTTAGGTAAATTAAAGAAAGCATTTAAAAAATCTTTATGACAAGGCCACTCTCGGGCTTCTCTTTTTTTAGTATTTCAATCAATAAGCTTAATGTGCACATATGGTAATAATACTGATCATATATCGGTAACAGAAGAAAAGATTGAAAAGAGATTGAAAGCAATTTTCAGTTCTCATATGTCAAATTAAGTAGTAAATTTATTTACGCCTCGAATAATTAAAATAACTCACTGTATAAACTCACGATATATTTTTAGTCGATTGACAGACGATTGCTTAAAATTCTTATCGATAACTTTACGAATGAAGATAACTCTGTGCATCATGATATCAACAGACACGTACAACTGACTGATTAACAGTAAATTTGTATCGATTGTAAATGTTATCTTATATAGAGAAAATGTTATTTCACAATTTTATTTTAATTAAAAAAATAAACTTAATTATGAGCTAGCTTTCAGAGCTAGATACATGTTATAGTGCTATAACGAAATAAAAGAAAAACATAAGATAGGGTCACATTTATATTTATTGAAGTTTGTTCATCAAGTTTATTTTATCAAAAGTTTTATTGAAAAGAAATTTGATACAACTGCATACATACATATTTTTATTATTTTTTTTAAATTTTATTCTTTCATGAAAAATTATTTTCGACTCAATAACACTAAAAGTTGCAAAATATATTTCATTGTATGATAAAAAATTTTAATGCTACTTTTAATTACGATATTTTTCTATATTAAAGGGACATTTTGCTTCCCAAAATTTTGTTTAATTTTTATAAATTTATTTTTACTAAATTACAGAACACTCTTTTATCTAAATTATCATCTTAATATAATTAATTTATATAGAAGTTTTAACAAATAATTGCAAGAATCGAGAATATTTAAATATTTTTCTCCATTTTGAACTCTCTGTAACAAAGTAATTATTTTTTAATTTTAAATATTACCTTAAAATTTTTAAAATCGCAAGCATATATGTGCAACAGACACAGGATCGATATGCTTTCCTAGGTTCAAAGGTTCGTTTATACATAGCATTGCCGAGATTGTAAGGGCCTTTCATGTACGTCTCAATTATCGTTATGTAAATTGACTCTGTTTTGTGATGTGTGCTTTGCACGGGATGAGCATAAACGCGTCGAAGCCTTCGGGCTTCGCTGCTACGCGAACCCGGAATTGCAATGATATAAAGTCAGGGATCGTCCAATTTCCAATGAAAAAAGACATGGGTGTGCACTTGATATATTCCTGAACAGATGAGATTTGATACTCAACACACACATTTAAAATTTCATATTTATCATTTGTTAATACATATATAAAAGTATAACATGTATAACATGTATAATAAGAGTAAACTATTTGGAATAAACCGTACATCAAAAGATTAGTTATCGAACAAGTAACTAGACAATCTTGAAGAGTAAGAAAAATGAAGAAATAATACCAAGTATTATCTCTGATTATTTGTTCAATATTTAATTATAATTATTAAGAATAATACATGTCATCATTATCTTTGGTCCGAAAATATATAACATACAGATCCTGAAGGTTCTCTATGAAAGATTTAGATGTGAAATACATATAATGACGATGAAGAATTTATTTGAAAATGAACACGAACAACTGCATAAAGAGATTTATGAATAGGGATTGCCAGTGATTCCTGAGGTATAATAAGAGTTGTTCGACTGTATGAATATCGTCATAGAGCTATTGTAGGATAGTGCATCGGTAAACTGTTTAGGCGGATTATAGCGACAGGCTCTTTGTCGCATCTGTCATATACGAAGCCTTATTATTCTATTTCTATGCTATATTTTGCTAGACCTCCATTCAATTCGTCCCACGCCTACACAGTTATATCGGAATCGGCGCGTAATCCAAGAATGGGATTATTTTCGACGATGGCCAATATACATCGTATAAGTACAAACTTACAAGTTTTCGTCTGATTGTATATTGACGTGCCTTCTGAATCGAGGTATTATTAACTCATTTCCATTTTGGTAGGCAAAGAATTTCCTGGTTTTACTCGAAACTCACTTATATGAATAAACGTTTAATAACATTTATACAAATGTGAGAAATGTCAAGTTCAAGAAACTATTTTTTCTATTAAGTACGTTACATGCTTACGTTGGAATTACACTCAACAGAAGAAGCTCAATTTAGGTATTGAGAAATGCGTTCGTTTATTGTAAAGGATATAATGCGTGTCTCTGTAACGACAATACCACTGAAATCATCAATAGATCCTGTGCACGACACGCGATTAAGAAACGCAGCATAACACGCTTTTTATATTTCCATCTGACGTAGTAAGGACGGTAGCATTGGGGGAGGTGCAATTCATATTTGCTGCCGCAGTCAGCAGCGGAATTGCACCTTTAATCAAGATTTCTACCAATTTGCGAGCGCCGACGGCGCGAAGACAAAGGCTATTGTTGCCGTAACTGGTCGGAGCTTCAAGTGTTCCAACGCAACGGTGAGAGCCTGATGCGCTTGTATACCGGGTGTACTCACGCAAGAGAGACCGATGATTTATTAAATCATTTTTTCATTTATCAAATTCCTAGTAAAAGGTAAAGTAACGCGAACGAAAGTCATCAGACAACGTGTCATGTTCCATCAACGTTACACAATATTGATTTAAGCTTATATGTCTCGATATTTCGCGACAAAGTTGACTCTTTATATATAAATTAAAATTGAATTTTCTACTTTCTCTAAATGTCGGGTAAGAATCTGGAATTGCTTGCATCTTGTAATAAAATGATCATAATATAATGATCACTACGATTAAATTTGATTGTTTTGAATATCGTGTTTAAATTTTGAAGTCGCTCCCTTTTATTATGTCTTTGATATCACTTGTCACATCACTTAATTTCATAATGCAAAAGAACAATGCATTTCGTTAGATATGATCCACGATTGATGAAATAGATATCTACTTGTGGATTACCCAGTGTATATGCGTGTCTTCGAGTCGGGATAGGAGAAGAGGACTCCATAGTGAAGGTTGACGCTCAGGGACCGCCAAGCTAGTCGCTTCGCATCCTAGAAGCCTCTACCCCACCGTTCGCTTCCGGCTAAGCCCGCTGCCACCGCGTACCAAGCAACTTGAAGCCACTCGTTCTTCTGTTTGTGTTTGCTAATTGTGAATTGTCTACTTCTTGCCTGTGGCTTGTGTGCACGCGGCACCGGGAGTAAGGGAGATAGACACTACCTGGGATGCGAATAACGGGAGACAGTGCGAGAAATAGGGAGAGAGTGAGAGAGAAAGAGAGAAAGAGACAGAGAGAGAGAGAGAGAGAGAGAAGAGGAAAAGAGAGAAGGACGGAAGGTTGCGGAACACAAGTTGTATGTGCAAGTCGAAGTGAGCTTCCGGCTGGAAGCACATCGCCTACGAAATGCTCGGACCGGGGAAAAGCCACCCCCTCGGGCCAACATCCCTGCCTAGACTACCGTCTCTCTATTCCTACACCCTTCCTTACATCCAACACCGACCACTCCGCACCTCTGCTCTGCTTTTATGCTGTAGACACTCGAGTTTACCTCACTAGCTGGTGCTCGCATGAGCACTATCCGCCAAGAGACATCCGTGAGCGAGAGAGTACCAATTTTTAGCCTCTCTTCGACCTGCCGATTACTTAAAAGCTACTCGATATTGAAAATACAAAATATATGTCTGAGAGCAGACGAGATTCGAAAACCTTAATGAAAAAATAACAGTTTGTTATGTCCTAATTAAAAAAAATGTTAACGTATATATAAGGTAAAGGCTTTTGACGATAAATTTCACTTCTTTCACACTTAGAAAAAAGACATAGTAACATAGCAACTGCATAGATGGCAAATATAGTTTATTAAACTGTGTCTACATTATAATTCTACCTACAAAACTCATGTAGTTATCACTATGTAGTTATCATCACCATATTTTTCTCTAAGTGCACTTTTGCGATCACTGCCATGAGAAGTTGTTGGGTGTCAGTCATAGCAAAATAGAATTAACACTAAGTAGTAGTCTTAATTAGTAGACTAAGTTTAGATAGTGATTAAAAAATCTTCCGAATGAATAATCGACATTATAATAGCAGAGACAATCACATTGAGTGTACTAAAAATGAAATTTTTTTGTAGCTTATTTAGAGACCCAACACATATAAATATGCTCTTAATCATCGCATGGAACTGGTGACGATTTAATGAAGCGTCAATATCGGCAGCAAATCATTTCGGTTCGTGATAATGAGACAATTTTCAATGTCGCTAATGTGATATCACCCTCGCGCAAAATAAAACGGTGCCGCGGCGTATTGTGAGGAAAACGCGCTGGCGCACCCTCCGTCGGATGCTGGCCGGGGCGGCCGCTCGAAATACACCCCGTCTCTCCAGAGACAGGGGACATATTGTTTGGTTCAGTAATTCCTCGCGTTATTTCCCGTGTTTGCTTTTTATCATTGTAAACTGATATATTGTCCGGGGTAACTCCCCTCGATGTAGAAACTTACGGGAGACGGCGGGAGCGAGGGGGTTGCGAGCGACAGTAGGGGAGGGGGCGAGACGTAATCGTTCGGACCAGCGCGGAGTTTCACTTCGCAAAATGATGGAAACGAGATTACTCGCGCGACAGCGCCAAGCTGCCTTCTTTATTTTTAAATGTGGGTATACGGCAATGGAACACCGTTTTTTCCCGCGTGCGAATGTACGCGGCCAAAAATGAATTTGATAGAGTGACAGCGTAAACGCACGGTGGTCTATTTTTATTTGTTGCATTCGATATTTTTGTTCATCGGTTGTTGGTTCGTGTTGATGCTGGGAAAAACCTCTATTCCCTATTGTTAACAGAGCTTGTTTTCAATAACAATATGAAAAGAAATAATCTAATTAGAAGGCGGCTCTGTTGATGTGAATGTAGAGAAACAGCAAGTAATTAATAAACTAATGACAAATGAGTTTATATATTTGAAGAATTTACAATGTGAAGCAATAAGTGAAAAGTAAATGAAGAAATAATTGTGGAATCGTTGGAAGATCTTGAAGGAAAATATTTCCATTTAAAGTAAAGCAGAAATATTACTTGTCCTCCATTCCGCTTTACTTTATCTTCCTGTCACGGTTGTCGATATATATATTTTTCTTTGGCCGCGCGCGATCGTTGGCCCGTCACTACTGAGATATTGTATTGACACGTACTTCGCGTCAATGTTTGAGCTTGAACTCTCGAGTGTCGCGTAAGTACTTGCGTGCGACACTGTGATATGTACGCTCGTCATATGGCGTGACACGTGCACCAACGCTAAACTCGTTGTACAGCAAACAACGAATTAAGTCTTACCGGCCGTCGCACTTCAGACTCGAATCAAATTCTCTGTAGTTTGAGATTTGTGTCGATCGACTGTCACGGGTACGGTGAGACAGATCGATCTACAAAATTAATGATGAACACACGTTTCTGTCATAAAAAGAAGAAAATTAAATAAGACGTTACTTACTGTAAGAAGACGAACTACGATCTAATCTCCGCGTTATATGCCAAACAATGACAACGGTATTGGCTGTTAGAATTAAGAATAAGACGACCAAAGACACTTAAACACAGATTACAGACGTTGTTATATAATGATAACGCGGTACTACTATTGCGCAAAACGTTGAAAAGGTCCTAAGGCAGTCATCCGGCGTCGCTCTCGAGCCCATTTAGAATTCAGGTACAGTTCGAAACTCCGAGATCTACACGGCGATGAAGACAGACCTATCGGCGAGACGTAATTTGTGCTCCTCTTCAGTTAATTACGCGAGGGAGGCATTGATACCGACGGTAGGAGCGAGGCACGATGTTTAAAGGGCAACGGTGTAATCCGAAGAAAGGCGTCGAGGCATCGCGGCGTTGCTGGTAAGTGGGGTGCAAGTGAACGGTGGTAGGTGGCTGAGGGTTGAGGTGGTAGTAGAGGTGTGGTTGCCAGCGGGGGTCGTCGTCTTAGCGAAAGCTGGCATGATCTAGCACAGAAGACAGGAGTCTGTCTGTCTTTATCAGCCAGGCAGGTAGAGCCGTCGAACCGCCACGCTACTCCCGTCAGCCACCCTCTTCCACCCTTCGACCGTCTAGCTGAGAGCTGTGCCTCCGATGAGAACACCCGATTGGCGTTTCTCTCTCGAACGAGGGAGGACATCATGCACCCCTATTGGCTCCTCGCGAATCCATACTCGGTATTCATTCGCCATCCCATTCGCCGACCCTTCGCGGGGCCGAAATCTCGCGTTCCTCTCCTCTCCTCTCCTGCTAGGGGTATCCTCTCCCTTCTCCCGTCTCCACCTTGTTCGACACCGTTTGCAAACGACCGGTACGACTCCAACCCTCTCTCACGGGGCGCCTTTACAATGCATTTCACCGCCGGCGCTTTCATCTCTCTCTCTTTCTCTCTCATTCACTCTCTCTCTCTCTCTCTCTCTCTCTCTCTCTCTCTCTCT